GAGGGGACAGTGAGAGGGGAGAGATGGGGAGAGGTGACAGAGAGAGGGGACAGAGAGATGGGGACAGAGAGAGGTGACAGCGAGGGGACAGCGAGGGGGGACAAAGAGGGGACAGAGAGGGGACAGTGCCGGGGGGTGGCACGGGCCCCGCTGATCTCCCGGGACTGTCCCCAGGGCTGTCCCCGGGGTCACTTGGGCTGGGGAAAGGGAGGGAACCCCCGGGGGGCGCGGGATGCGGGGACAGGGACAGTGACAGGGATGGGGACAGGGGACAGTGACAGGTGCTGGGACAGGGATGGGGACAGGGACAGGGGACAGGGGCAGTGACAGGGGCTGGGACCCGTGTCCTGCCAGCATCACGCCAGCATCATGGCATGTGTCATGCCAAGAACATGCCATTATCATGCTATTATCATGCCATTATCATGCCATTATCATGCCATTGTCACCATCACTGTCGTTGTCACCGCCATTTAACACCAAACCCCGAGAGAACCAAGAGGACCCCGAGTGACCCCAAAGTGCCACCCCCGGGCTCTGTCACCGCGGCTGCTCCGTGTCCCCCGTGTCCCCCCCGTGTCCCACCACCCCTGGGTGTCCGGGGGGGTCACAGGTGTCCAGCGGGGTCCGAGTGTCCAGGGGGTTCCAGGTGTCCAGCGGGGTCCGAGTGTCCGGGAGGGACAGAGGTGTCCGAGGAGGGGGTCTAGGTGTCCGGGGGGAGGGGACACCGGTGTCCGAGGAGGAACCCATGTGTCCAGGGGGGTCCGAGTGTCCAGGGGGGACTCCGGGGTGTCCCCGCAGTGTCCCCAGGGTGTCCCTGGGGTGTCCGAGGGGTGTCCAGGAGGATCCCCAGGGTGTCCTGGGAGGTGTCCGGGAGTGTCCCAGGGGTGTCCGGAGATGTCCCAGCTATCCCCGGTGTGCCTCAGGTGTCCCCGAGGTGTCCCTGGGGTGTCCCCGGGGTGTCCCAGGTGTCCAGGGGGATCCCCAGGGTGTCCTGGGGGAATGTCCGGGAGTGTCCCAGGGGTCCGAGGGGTCCCCGGGGTGTCCCAGGTGTCCCCGGGGTGTCTGGGATGTCTCAGGTGTCCTCGGGGTCTCAGGTGTCCCCAGGGGGTCCCCGCGGTGTCCGGGGTGTCCCCGGGGTGTCCCCGGGGTGTCCCACGTGTCCGGAGGGGTCCCACGTGTCCGAGGGCTGTCCCAGGTGTCTCCGGGGTGTCCCAGCCCCCCACCGTGTCCCTATGGGGCGGGGGGCTCTCTCTGGGGCCCAGCCCCTCCCCCCCCGTCGCCCTATAAAAGCTGTGGGGCCGCGGGGCTGCCAAAGGCGCTG